TGCTTGCCCGTGCTGTCTCCGGCAGGTTACTTCATGACCTGCTCCTGCTTACGCCGTCTTCCCAGAACCGGGCTCACGGGGCAGAGGTAGGGGCTGCAGAGCGATGTGTCGCAGTCTGCTGGACCAAGCTGGCCGCAGTGTGCCGGGGCACCTGCTGCGGCCCCATGGCACTACCAGTGTGTTAGCTCTGTACAGGCAGTGTCCTCTGAAACCTGGAAGCGTGGGAAATACAGGACGTGGTCAGCCACTTGTCCCTGTGCATCCTCGGAGAAGCGGCAAACTGTGCTGGGGAAATCTTTGGGCAAAGCCCAAAAATCAGAATGACTATTTTCAGGTCTGCGCTGAAGCTCTTTCCGAGTTAGGAGCTGTGATACCTCATCAGCACGTGCGTATACACTAATTGCTTTGTTTTTCGTGTACGCTGCCTGTTTTCCTGCTGCCAGGAGATCACAGGTTTTGTTTTGTACACGCGGCTTTGGAGCGAGGCATGTTCGTATTTAGTGTTCCCCACTCAAAGTGGGATTAGCCATCTGACCTGTATGATCCCAGTCCTCTCTGTGCTGGGCTGCTGGACTTTTGGTTATCAAGGTCCAAGTTAGTCAAATGCAAAAGATTTATTCTTCTCCCCAAATTCTTGCTTTTTATATATAGTTATGATAATGCACAGTGAAATCAATAATCACTTTTTTGTTTTCTTAAAAGTGCTTTCTAGGTACTTGTAGTCTATCAAAATAATTTTGTTGTGATTAGAAGTTCTTGCTTCAAGTGATATTTGTTCTACTTCAAAAGGAAATTGGAAGTTTCTTGTTTAATCTTGTAATCCAGGATTACAGAACATCCTGAACTTTTTTTTTATATATGTATATATAGTAACAGGTCTGCTTTAATTAGAAAGGTTCTAATACTGATTAAGGCATTAGCCAAACTGGAATCCTCCCATCTCTCAATGAAATTATGAGAGTACTGGGAGAACTATTTAGATAATCGCAGTTACAGAATATTTCATTAAACCACGCACGGTCAGCCTTAATATGATAAATGCTCAATACACAAAATCCTGACCTTTTGAGACCCAGCAGATGATTTCCTTTCCCCAAGCAGCATGTGATCTGTGTAGCAGATCCTGCAAATCCTCACCTGAGCAGACCTGAACTGATGAGGTTAATAGTGTGAATAAAGAGTGGAAGATGAAGACCCGTGCAGGGCACAAAACGAGCCTGGATTATAGCTTCATCAGATGCATTCTATTTAATGTCAGTTAAGATTAAAAGCACCAGTTACTGCATGCAGTGCCAGTCAAAGTGATGATCTAGGTGGAGGGAGCCTGAGGAAAAGCAAAATACAGAAATGAAAAGGGAGAAGATGTGATTTGCTCCCTTGAAAGAAAGAAAAAAAAAAAAGCCCCAGTTAACTGTAAGATAAATTAACCAAATCAGATAAAGGAAAAAAAAATACAATGTCTGTCCAAAGTGATAAAATATTAATGGATAAAAATGATTTTTTCCACTTTATGAAGAATGACAGTTTTCAAATCCTGTGCTGTGTACATTGAAAAAGATTTTCTGCTCAGTAGCTCAGATTTTACAATTTTACTGTGGCCATTTAATCAACTAGGTCTTTAATTTGTATGTGTTGTGTTTCTGGAAATGTTTTGGACTCCAAAATAGCGAATTTCCACATTAAAAACTTAAAAGATGTGGGTTTTCTTTGTGTGTGTACAATTAGCTTAAGGTATTAATAAAAAAAAAAAAGTAGGTAGCTGCATCTAATGATTTTTTTTTTGAGTAATCTGAACCATCTGCCTCTAGATATTAAGGAGTTCACTACTTTAATCCAGATTATGGCTGACAAACTGGTTTTGGCATTCACGTTTCACTAGCATTGTGCCCTTGAAGAGCTGCTGTGGCTGTAGTAACTCCCTTACTTTTAATTGTGGGTTTTGAAAGCGTTTCTGATTCACTTTGGCATTGCTGTGGCCCTTTGCTCGTAGCTTTTTTTTTCTTTTCTTTTCCTTCTTTCTTTCTCTTCTTTTTTTTTTTCCTTGCAAAGAAGATGGCCTTCCTAATGAAAAGTATGTTGAGCAATCAGGTAAAGAATTTGGGGCTTGGAGGTGGAGGGGAAGAAAACAAAGAAGAAAGCACGCCATCCGACCCAGCCGCGGCCGCAGGGATGACCAGGGAAGAGTATGAGGAATACCAAAAGCAAGTGGTTGAGGAGAAGTGAGTACCTGTTCCTTATTGTCAATATTGGGCTGATTTCCTCGTGACTTTGTTCAGATAAGAATAAATCAGAAAGAGCCAAACATCCTCCTCTCTTCCCCCTTTTTAAACATAAGAGAGTAAGACAAGAGAGTGCTTTTGCTAACAAGATTTTCAAAGATAAATGTGCACAAATGGAGAAACAAAATATTATGTTTTCCCCCTTTCCCCTCTTCTTCCAACCCTTCTACACGCCTTGACATACTGGATTAATTGTTACTTCGGTTTGCCATGCCTCTTTTTTTTTTTTCTTTTTTTTTTTTTTCCTCCATAGATACCAGGCTGGCAATATAGCAATAGCTAATGCTAAAATGTATATACTTTTTTTTTCCTCCTACAACTCTGCTGAGGATACTTCAAATATATATATTTTTTGTCCATAGTTATATGGCAGAAACAAAGAAGTAATGACCATTATTTTAAAAAGGTGATATTTATCTGAAGAAATTTTTCTTATGATGGTTAATATTTTTGTAGTTGCACTCTCAGATTTTTTCCCAAAATCTGCTAAATAAAGCACAACTTTAAACTGTTTGATTAAACCTCAGGTATTTTATTTCGTCTATAACTATGATCATTAACCGTTCCCTGTGTTTAAATATCAGAACAGAGATAAAATAAAGATTTTTTTTAACATGCAGGAGTTTAAATCATGTGTAATTATAATGAAAGCAATTGATTTTTAAATCTCAGATGCATCTGTCCCTCTAATGATCAATTACATAATGGTTGTGCAAATCCTTCATTTAAGATGATTAGAGGTGAAAGGTTAATGACCGGCGGTACTTATGAGGTATCCAGATTTGTATTTAGCAGTAGTCATTTTTGTCACAAAAACCTTGAATAAGTATCACTTGTTTGGGGGGAAAAAAAGTATGGAATGTTTAGTTACAATTTTTCCAAGGGATGTTTAAAAGACAAATAGTGCCCTGCCCGCAGGAAGGTGAGAGCCATAAGCAGAGCCCTGGCCAGGGCTCGCCCTTTGGCACGTGGCCATGGGCCGCCCTGGCCCTGCACTTTGCAGATGCACAACTTAAACATATAACCTAATCAGGAATTGTGTGGCAGCATTCTTAAATCGTGAATAAGTGCTTTTCCTAAAACTGTCTGTGGTACTCATTTCCACAGGTTATTTTAGAAGAATGAGTGGGTTCAGAGAGACTGGACAAATCCGTAGATGACAGAGGCCATCTTGACCTATAAAGCTAATGAAGTAGAGCCAATTTCCAGCTCAAGTAGTCCCTAAATCACAGACTGAGGCGCTGGGCAGCTATGGCACAGGATACTTACCCTATTCTTGAATTCCCCCTCCAAGTGTCTATTACTGCCTACTGCTGGGTATTGCTGTCAAATAGTTGAACTTTTTGTTCAGAAAGACCAAAAAGAGGCAGGCCCAGAATGCCCATTCTGGCAGTATGTTGTGTTTCTATACACTATGGAGCACGTTGTGTCTGTAGAATGGGAGTGCTGGAGGGTTCTGCAAGGGCCTGGCAGAATAAGCAAGAAATGGACCTAACTTCTGTGCATAACACTGGGATCGCTCCTGATAGAGTGCAGTGTGAGCTAGCATGGGGCTGTCTGTAGGTGAGCCATGCTGGCTTCTCTTCTTTTTTTGCATGACTTGCAGGAGATGCTCTAGGGTCAAGCTTGTGATCCACGAAGTCCAACACTTGTGATATTACTTTAATAGCAACTCATTTTGTGTCTTTAGAGAAGCTATATAACTTTGGGAATAGCTGCTGCATATGGCTTCCTGCAGCTGAGGGATTGGTTCAAAGTAGAAGATGGCATTTTGTTGTTAGTGTTTTATTGGTATTCTGAAGACACCTCTCTCTCTCTTTTCCAGGATGGAAAGAGATGCAGCATTTGCACAAAAAAAGGCAGAGCGAGCATGTCTGAGGGTTCACCTGAGAGAAAAGTACAGGCTCCCTAAGGTAAGCCATAGTCCATGGTCCATCTGGGTTAATGATGGATGTTGAAGCAGCTCAGCTCTGAATGCAACAAAGCACCTTTGGGGTTTCTGCTGCGGCTCGGGAAAAACAGATCAGACCAGAGCTCTGTTTTTCACTAGGACTGCAACCCCTTTCTTACCACTTGGTAGATAAATCTCCTGGAAAGATCTTTGCAACCCTCCTTGCTGTGGTCAGCTCCAAGGCAGGAGACCAGGCAAGATGAACCTCTGGTCTGATCCCTTCTGACAATGAATGTGCACGCTCTTAACTCATCAGTCTGTAACTGTTAAGTAAAATAATTAAAAGCAAATAAAAAAAACCTGGAAACTTCTTCCACAAGCTTTAGCTGGTATTAGCAGAACAGCCTGAGCTTTGATTCTGCAACAGCAAAGTTGAGCTTGAAGCTGATCTTAGTGTGGCTGTGGAACGCCCCAAATTTCTGGGCAGAGTCCCTGGACATTGCTAGCAGGATGCCCTCAGCTGCAGAAATGAAGGGACGATGTGCAAGATGCTTCTGCTGAGGGATAAAGGTGCAGGAGGGATCTGTCCTCTTGATCCTGCTGAGAGGACAGTGGCTGGCAGAACATCTGGGTGGTCCTTCAGCTGGCTGTGCTTGGCAGATACTGCAGAGTGCTGCCAGCCCCCTGACAGCAGAGCCTGGGAAGGCCCTGAAGGCTGGTGAAAGCAGGAGATTGCAGAGCTGAGGGCTGCCTGGGCAGACGTCCGTGCTGCCTTCGTGTATGTCCCAGGGGTTGTGTGATTCTGGGAACAGGGGACAGCTTAAGACCTGTCCCTGCCGTGGCAGGTGGAGGATGAGTTTGTGCCCTGCAGTGGGAGCCTTCACTTTTGCTAGAACCTGGGCACCATCGGTCCTGCTCCTGCCATGTGTACATGGACAGCAAAAAGGTTTATTTCTGAAAAGACTTTAAAGACTCAGGTTTGGGCAGGCTCCTTGTTCAGTTTGTTTAAATATCATGCAAGTTATCACAGGAATTACTAAAATTTGAATAGTCGTAATATATATGCTATTAAACAGCCATTAGCTTTGTCAGCCCTCCACTTCTGATTAAAGACTCCTGAAGAGACTTACTCTTCCAGCTTAGTTGAGGTGCCCTTTGGGTATAGTTATGTCACAGGACATCATGTTATGACCATGTCATCGGTGCTTCCTCGGCATTTTCAATTTTCAATTCTAGCACCTGCAAAGGAAGGTGCTTTACTGAAATGAGGAAGAAAACATGAAGGGTTACACAGGTAGCATAAGTCAGGATAACGTCAGCGACAGGGCCTGTGACAGGGCCTATGCCCTTCACTGGGCATCAGTTACCTGGAACAAAATTTTATCTGTTCTTCCTCTTCCCGGAATACTGATTTTACTTCTGTGAAATGACTTCTGCTCTAAAGGCCAGTCCACAGTCCAAAATTACCAATCGGAGTCATTGAATACAAGGAAAATAGCTGTGCAAGCATTTCCTTTTGATGTATATCATACAACTGGGTTTAAAGGGAATGTCTTTTTCTTTGATTTTTTAGGAAGTTGTTCATGATACTTTTAATGAAAAAATTATAACAATTTGCAGTTTAACAAAATTTTGAGATTTCTCCAACAGTGTTCTTTTCTGGAAAGAAAGTTTCCTACAGTCATTGTAAAAGATATACATAATTCTAAATTGGTGATGGGATTTGATGTTCTGGAAATTTTGATGTGGCAAAATACCACACAGATGTTTTCCTACAGAAATACTTGTTTGTGGGGGAAAAAAATCTGACAAACCCAATTAGAAATATTAGACCTCTTTGCAAAATGACCTTTTTCTTGCCTTTTTTAGCACAATGAAAAATTTAACTTGGCCAGAGTTATTAAAATACTGAATATATTTGCTATCCTGCCTGATCTTTGACCCTAATAAAAAGTGTGGAAAAATTAGTCGACATTTCTTAGCAAATTGGTCTCTGTGGTTTTTTGTTTGCTTTTTCAAAGATACCCTATCAAAGATTGGTCCTGGGAGTTTGTCTTTTAGTGGAACTCAAGTCAATGGGATTCAGCTCAAAAGGATTTCCTTCATGTTAAGATGATCTACCCTGCTTTCTTGTACCTAATCTGTATTTTATATGAACCAAAAAAAAAAAAAAATCTGTTTGAGATTATTTTGAAACTGGGAGCAAGAGCCCAGAGCAAATGAATCAAAGGAGAAATCCTAGTATAAGTTGCCAGCAGAGAAAGTTTCATAGCATTCCTAGTATCTCAAAGACCTCATATCTCTGCTACCTTCTCTCACAGCAATTAATCTTTCCAAATTTCTTCTCCGCTTGTCACTTGTCATGTTCCATAAAAGAAGCTCGTGAATGAAGAGGGGTCCTTCCACTCACTCCTGTCTGCATCTGCAGGGCTCTTGTTTTGGTTGTCTGTCCATGGGCAGAGGGCTTAATGGCACCACTTGCTCCCTTCCTGCATCTAAAGGGAGTGCGGGGAGAGGATGGGGCCAGATTCTGCTCAGTGGTGCCCAGCAATAGGATGAGAGGCAACAGACTGAAACACAGGAAATTTGTCTGAACATGAGGAAAACCTTCTTGTCTGTGAGGATGGCACAGCCGTGGAACAATTGCCCAGAGAAGTGGTGTCTCCATCCTTGGAGACATTCAAAACGCATCTGCAGGCCATCCTGTGCCAGATGCTCCAGGTGACCTTGAGCAGGCAGTTGAACTAGGTCATTTCCAGAAGATCCTGATAGCCTGTTGAGCTGCCCATTGAAGCATCAGAAATGGCAGAAGTAAAGGACTAGTAGATGCACAATTAAAAATTGGAAGACAAAGCTGCGAAAGCTCAGAAAGTGCTTATATTATGTAAATATGGGTTATGGATGGTGTGATTTTTCTGTGGAGCTGTAGGTTCTGATGCTAAACCTGAGCCGTCAAAGGCCCTCTAGTGCCAGTTTCATAAAATTACAGTGCCATTATGTGAAAAACACCTTTCTTTGCTTGAATCTACCTTGTGGTTTAAGGTAAAATTATACTATCTGCATTTAAAAAAATGGCAGACCTAATTCCTAATTGAGGATTAAAATACTTTTGTCTAGTTTTGATTTTTTTTTTGTAATGATACCCTTGCAAACTGTCTTTCAACCAGAGAGAAGTGTGTATATAGAGAGTATTGTAGAATCTTTTGAGACAGGAACTATGAGGGGAAGAAAAAAAAAAAGGCAGCAATAGAAAAATTGGAGAAAGCCTCGTTTAAGTTACGTCACCTAGTCCTTCCCCTCAGTGTATGTGTTAAATGAAACTTTTGTAAGCAAATCTGCAGTTTTATGTAATATTGCAGATGAACAACTCTCCTTCAGATTATTTAAAATACAAACGACCTTAACTTGTACAATTTTTAATCTTCCAAAAAGAAGCACTGTTGCTAACCTACAGCTTCTACTTTGACTGGAAGGAATATACCCCCTGTCCCATCCCTGGTTTATTGTAGGTTGTCAGCAAGGCCCCACGCTTGCTTGTATTTAACCTTTGCTGTCCTTATGACTGCTCAGAAGTGCTGGTATCGCTCTGACCCCTTTGCAGCAGTTCGCGCTACAGGCCTGAGCAAAGCAGATGAACTGTGTGTCTTGTCTGGGCACAGCACGTCGCCAGCCGTGGTGGAAGTGCAATACCGGTTCCGTGCGTGAAGTGGCTTTTGTCCCTGCAGCTGGTGTGCTAAGGGGTAGACACTCGCCAAGCTATGGTTTGGTTCCATGAGGTCTAGATAGGTGCAGTCCCTCCCCAGCTTGCCTCAGGACAGTGTCCATCTAGAGAAGGGCATGCAGGACCAGCGCAGATGTGTGTGAGCTCTGAACACGGCCAGGGTCTCTATCGGAAAATGGGAAAGGGGGAAACAGTCCACCCTGCCCTTCAGGCACTAGCTGTGGTTCACTACTAGTAGTGGGTGCTTAGCACGGTGACAAGGGAAGAAAGAGGCAAACATACCCTGAGGGCACATTTAATTACAGAAAGATTAGTTATGCAAAAAAAAATGAAGTACAAGATTTTAAGTGGTTGATTGGATTATAGGTCTAAATCTCTAAATGCTAGTATTTTACTTAGCAGATGGGTAGGAAGATCATCAGACTTTTTCCCTAGGCCTTGTTTTCCCTATGGAGGCACACATTGAGCCAGCTACTGCACAGCATTTCCCTGCGGCACGAGCACCTCCTGTGAGCTCCGGCTTTATGTCCAAAAGGGGCAAGTTTTAAAGGCTTAAGAGCAGTCAGATGCTCAGCTCCGAGCTGCGAGTCAGTGCGTCTCCCACCAGCAGCACTTTGATCCTGCGATGGCATCAGGAGCTCTAGCCACCCTCAAGTGACCTCTCACAAATGCGCTGCTACCTTGGAGTGCCCCAGAAGTTGCAGTGGTGATTGGCTTTGTCTCCAGTGGGATTTTGACTCCAGAATACAGAAACGGCTACTTGGGGCCAAGCTTACAGTGCCAGCAGGGCTTGATCCTAGGTAGGGCTCTAGGGAGGGAGGGACTCCAGGCTCACAGAGACACTAAGTGAATGCTTTGCTGTGCTGATTTGCAGCAGAAGCAAGTACATTTTGCAGGATATGTGTACGTTCTTTTGCATTTGTGTTTCTACTTACAGAGAATTTCTTGTCTGAAAGTCTGCTTTCTCTTCTTTCTCCATAAAAACGTTATATCAAGAAAAAAGCAAATTATTGCATACACACTAAATGGCTGTAAAAACTGCAGTTCTCTATGATATAACATTACAGCAACAAAATGCTCTCAAATCTGTAATTACGTAGTCCAGCTGCATTAATTATTTTGAAAAGAGGCTAGTTCCAGGTGGGACAGAAACTCTGAATACGACCAGTTTCGTTTCCTATCACAAGTGGTAAATGGAAACATGAAATCCAGACTAAGCAGGGCCCCTTTTCAGTGCAAAATCTAAAGCTCTGTGGTATCTAGGCCAGATTTATAAGAGAAAGCAGAACCTTAATGAACCTTAATCCTATTAACAGAATTGTCAACTTGAGTTTGTCATGAGAAAGATGATTTTATCCGTGAGACATTTGGATAACTTTTATTGGATGACTTTTGCCTCCCCAGTGTATTTAGTGCATCACCTCCATACAATGCTCACTGCGTCATTACTGCCTGTTTTGCACTTTAATTTTTGTTCCACGCTGCAAGCTGCTTTCGTCCATCTGGCCAGCTTGTGTGCGAGTTGTTCTTCTGCTAACAGTGCAGGGCAAAGTGGGCTCCTGATACCTAAGATAAGGTGAAAAGAGATGTTGTATCATAAGTTGTCCTGCAAAAGCTAGTCCTTGGAGTCAACTCTGGGTCCAGTTAAGTAAAGGCTTTCATCTGATCTACCAATGACTCCAATAGCTATGCTGTTACCTTGAGAAGCTTCATGTCTAAAATCAAGAATGTCAGTAATAACAAGTAAATGTAGGAGGGAAAGTCAGCAAGGAAACGAGGTGTCCTGGTGACTGCATCTTTATGCCACATCAATCAAAAGGGAGCTGGAAGCCACTTATTTGGGAGACGGGGCTTGCCCACGCTGGCCGTGCCCTGGCCAGGGGATGCGGAGCTGCCGCCTCGGGCCGCAGGGGGCAGGGCCCGGCCCCCCATGGGCCCAGCGCTGCTGTTGGGCGGCAAGGGCCACGGTCCCTCCTGAAGAGTCCACGGAGCACGCAGCTGTCTGCCCCTCTCCTGAGGGATGTGCCCTGGATGCGGCTTTTCTCCCCCTTGTCTCCATCACTTCTGCGTCCGCGTTGGGGCCACAGGGAGCTCAGACCCTGCCCTCACTTGCCATGAGGACCGTCGGACACGGTGCGTGTCTAGCACGGCAGCCCTGCCCCGGGCTGCCTACAGGGAGTGCTCAGAGCTGGGAAAGGTCACCTGCATTTTCATGTAAACACCAAAGCAACAGGAGAGGAGCTGATAATTCTCAGAAGCAGGAGGAGCAGCTGCATGCATCCTGCGTGCTCCTTGGCTGGCTCCTGAGAGCCTGCCCTGTTGAAGCTCACTCTAGGCCTCCTCGAGGCCAGGCTGAAGGCCCCTGCGAGGAGGACATGGGTGGGATTGCAGCGACCTTAGCAGAACTGTTCTGGTGTAGAGCACGTCTGAGCGTCCTCCTCTTGGTCAGAGATCACTTTGAGCCTCAAACTGCTGTGTACCATGTCTCGAACTCCAGTGTGGGGGGAGCTTCAGTGTAGCACTGTCCAAACATCCTCCTTCATGTCTCAGAGCAGTCTGGTGTGTGCCATATGCCATTGCTCCAGTGCACAGTAGTGTGCAGTGAGGGTGTCCCAAGGGTGGGGAATGTTCCACTGGCTGCTTGACAGGACGGTTTGGGCAATTAACACAGTAGCTTTTACCATCATCTTCACTGCTGCTGGGAGGGTCTCAAAACGGTTGACTCCTCTGAGAGCCAGGGCTGGGTGATTGGAAGCTTAATGTGTTGCTCCTGCAACACAGTTAATGACCAATCCTTGTACTGGTTGTGATGCTGCTTCCAGGTCCCAAAACCTGGTGGTGACAACCCAGAGCTGAGGGACTAAAAGGTGGCCTTGCTCCTTTAAGCGCATAGCAGTAATGGTCATGGTGCACTGCTCCATATCCTTCGTGAGAGATATGGGGGGAAATTGTGTTAAAGGGAAACACAGTTATCACAAACATAGTGCTGTACAAACACATATGAGTGTTCTGCCATCAAACGGCATGGTCTGCAACTCCTTGCTACAGCCTGGGCCTCTGCAGCCATTGCTTGAGCATGCGCTTCCATTCATCCCGACATTCGTTCATTCATCCATTCGTGCAGACTCGGGACCCCTACTCACTCCCAAAAACACCTCCTGCTGACAGCATCGCTGCTTATTCATATCAGGCCTTTGCTGCTGTCATGCTTCATTTTAGAGATGTAATGAGGCATTAATGCTTATCTTTGATGTGTGAACTGTGTCAAAATATGCCGTTCTTATGCACACTGGATCCATCAGAATCCACTGCAAAATGTGAACAAAATCGCCATTGTTTGGAAAATTGACCCAGCCGCACTGATGAAGCATTGGAGGCTGTCAGGAAGCGGCGCTTGCTGTCTCGCAGCCCTTTAATTGCTCAGCCAGGTCCTTCTCTTGCCCCGGTGCTTTCTCAGACCCACTCGTGCTCTGTCCTCTTTTGTTGTTCAGGTCTCCTACTGCCCCACTTAGCACTGCAGCAGCGCGCTGGTTATGTGCCAGCCTGCCCTGGCTCTTCCTCTTGCCCTGGAGATGCCAACCAAATACCTAGATAGGGCTCAGACTCATGGAAGACGGAGACATTTTTTCCATTAATTCTTTTCTGCGTTCCTTTGCACTGCAGGTTTGTTTTATGGGAAGCTCTAGATAAGAGGGACTTCATGCAAAGTCCCGGGCTGGTGAGGAGTTTCTTCAGGGTTCACAGGGGCGCTGGACAGCTTTTTGGATGAGAGTGGGTCCAAAATCCTTCTTCATGTCTAGCTGCTAAAATGCTCAGTCTCCGAGCTGGAATGTTGTTTTAATATGAAATGTTGTTTTGTTTGGGTGTTCTCTTTTTGACTTGCTTTGAAATCAAGAGTATATGAAAAGTAAAAGCAGTAATAAGACCTTCCATGATGAAATTCAAAAGAAGGGTAGAAGGAAGAGTGCCTAGAATGAAACTGGAATGTCTAGCAGAATGCTGGTAGTGCACAAGAGCTGTGGGATCTGTGACGGACTCTGACACACTTGGCCTCCTCAGGTCCATGCAGAGATGAGTGTGACACCGACCTGCACGTTCAGCCACTAGTGCCAAAGCAGGCTACAAAACTGATAAATAAAACTCAGGGGCTCCTGGGCTTGTGTTAGAGATAGGGCTACACTTCACATTAAGCAAAATATATGTAATTTAGTAGCTCAGATTCACAACTTGCTAGCTACTATTTATTTTGTCTTCCTGACTGTCACAAAAATGGCAATGTGAAGGCACACTGCATGCTTGCTTTGATGTAATAAAATACTGAATGTCCTCGGTGGGTTGAATGACAGGAACCCAGCAGTAGCCTGCACAGAAATGGCAGATGTGGGTGATTTTCTAAAGGTACTGTAGGGACGGGCCTGGGAACAGGACAAGGACAAGGGACAGGACGTGGCATTTCATGTTGTGCCACAACATGGCCGGGGGCAGCCTTGCCAAGGATGCAGCTCTGGGCCACATCACAGAGCAGGCTGGTGCACCAGCAGGCCAGGGCCAAGCATTAAAATAACGTGCGGTGGGATCATGGCAAAGATTTCTAGAAATGGCAGGGGATGCTGCAGGCATCAGTGTTAGCCCTACTGAAACCATTCAAGGAAATGCAGCTGGCACTTCTTGTGAAAAAGGTTACCACTGGGATGGATCCCAAGCGACCCATGGTTGATGTTCACTGAGCCCCTGAATCCAGGAGTCATGTGTAAAAGCTCTGACTGAACAATCTGTGTATTTGATTTGATGCACAGCCCCCTCCATCCCCATGCAACCCAAAAAACCCTCAGTGGTAGCTGCTTTGGGTCTAGCAGAAACAGAGTACTGCCAAATAGTCATGCATGGTTCCTATTTCCCGTATCTGTGTTTGTGTCAGAGCGAACTAGATGAGAACCAAATACAGATGGCAGGAGATGACGTGGGTTTGCCAGAAGACCTTCAGAAAATGGTGGCAGAAGACCAGGTGGAGGAAGAGGACAAGGACTCTATCCTGGGGCAGTTGCAGAGCCTCCAGAACATGGACATGGACGCCATCAAGGAAAAGGCTCAAGCAACCTTCACGGAGATGAAGCAGGCGGCCGAGCAGAAATGCTGCGTGATGTAGAGGAGGTGCCGGCTCGGCGGGGCCCATGGCCCCTGCCTGGCCGAGGTGCCACTGCAGGGAGGGATGTGAGCGCCACGGCAAAGGGGACGAGGGGAGAGAGAGAGAGACACGGTGAAACTTTGGGGGCAAAAATTAGGTCCCGCTATAACATAGTGCTGAGCTAGAACTTAGAACTGATCTCCCTCCCTCCCTCCCTCCCTTTGTTTTCCTTCCTTCCTTTGTTTTCCTTCCTTCGTTCGTTCCTTCCTTTGTCTTCCTTCGTCTTCCCTCCTTCCTTCCTTCTTTGTCTTCCTTCCTTCCTTCCTTCCTTCCTTCCTTCCTTCCTTCCTTCCTTCCTTCCTCCCTCCCTCCCTCCCTCCCTCCGTTTCTCCCTCCCTTCCTGCTTCCTTCTTTCCTCCTTCCTTCCCTCCTCCCCGTCTCTGTCCCAAGGAAAAAAAAAGGCTTTATAAGCAATTATTTGGGGAAAAAAATGTGCCTTTTTCCATTTTTCAAAAAGTTCTCAGAAATGCTACTCAATTTATTTTTTAACTGAAACTGTGCTTCTGATGCATAACATATCTGTAATCACCCCTTAATACAGTTTTCGGAGAACACACACACACACACATATATATATATAAATAAATACACTAAAGCTAGTATTCAAATATTGAAGTGTTCTGCAAGCATTGTTTTTGATGTTCTGTTACGCTTTGCTGTCTCTGCATTGAGTGCAGCGTAGGGCGGCACATTGGGCACGTGGGAGCTGCAGGGCCCACAGGCAGCAGGGCTGGGGGCTCCCGGCCAGGGCACTGAGCGCGAGGAACCCCCTGGGTCTGCCTCACGTGAGCTCAGACCTTGTGTGACAGCGGCTGCCCCCTGCTTTGCCACTATTTGTGCCAAATTCTGGGGCTTCTGGTGCCAGCAAACAACTGGCACAGGCTAGGTGCATTTATTCCTTGGGTCCTGCCGGGCTCCTCATCCCGAAGGGAAGATCACGGCTCCTCCAGCCTTCAGGCTGTCTGGGTCCATGGAGCAGCTGGTTCAGGTTGAGCCCAAGCAAAGTTTTCTTTACCGATGTTCACGTTTTTCCTAGGGGAAAATCCAGGTGCTCAGACCTGCACAAAGAGCTGTGCACAGAGCTGCGCGCAGCACCACGCACCTGGCCCTGCTCCCAGGCCTGGGTCTCCCACACAGTGAAGGCACGGGCAGGTCCCCAGGAATCTGGATGTGAACGACACTAGGAAATGAGCACAGGTAGCACCGGCCCACCAGACTCTGAAACACTCTCTCTCTCTCGATCGCTTTTGCTCTCTTGCTGTTTCCACCCAACCAAGTTAATATATTCATTTAAAATGAATAAATGCAATAAATATGGTTTGTCTTGGTCTTTCTTTCTTTCTTTTTCTTTCTTTCTTCTCTTTCTCTCTTCCTGCTCTGTGCTGTCACTTGTCTGCACAGGGCTGCGTCCCAGCAACCTGTCCCATGTCTCCTGAGCACCTTATTGCCCATGTCAGTCCTGCTCAGGGGTCTCTTGGGGACTCTGGTTCTGCTCGCCCTGGGAGGACATGGCTGTCTCATCAGCTGCCACCACTATCATCTTGCACTGCTGCAGGTGGCAGAGGCTCCGGCCTCAGTGGCAGCTCCAGGTGGGATGGCTCTGGGCTGGATGGATGTGGGCTCTAGGTGAGATGGTTCCAGGTGGAATAGTGGCTCCAGCCTGGATGGCAGCTCTGGGCTGGATGGCAGCTCCGGGCTGGATGGTAGTTCTGGGCTAGATGCATGGTGGCTCCAAGCCCAACGGTGGCTCTGGGCTGGTGGCTTCGGGCACTCCCGGGCAGAGGCCATGCTGCCTGGAGACACCTTGCTGGTACACGCACAGGGTCACGCTGGTCCCTGTCACCCCCAGGCCTGGGCAGCACTGGGAGTGACACACACTTGCCCCAGACACCTCTGTGGTGGCTCCTGCTCACCTGGCCAGTCGCCCAGGACACAGGAAGGACCGAAATCCCCACGCTGGGGAGAGCTCCAGCCCTGCAGTGCCTCTCCTGGATCTCCGCCAAGCCTGAGCAGGGTCCTCGCGCACAGGGGCCATGGGCAGGTCCATGTTTCCCCTCCGGCCTTCCCAGCACATCCTGGTGTCTCTGGGAATTGCCCCTCCCCAGCCCAGGTGGCTGCCCCAGTGGAAATGGACTTTAGCCGTGGCAGCTCCTGCTCCAGCTCCTGGCCCTGTGTCACTTCCAGGACACCCTCCTGTGCCGCCATCACTAGAGCAGCTGCTGCTGGGACGGGTCGCACGGGACGTGCAGGAACCCTGCAGGCAGCAGTGCCAGAGCGTGAGGACAGATCCATCTCCCTCATCTGGGGCTGGCAGAGCACACTGCAGCCGAGCCTCCTCATCCACAAACTGCAGGGAACACAGCCGGGGCTTTCACCCTCCGAGTTAAAGTGTGCCTAGGACAGCCTGGAAATCTTATTGAAAGCATCTGTGGGTTTAAAGGAGCTAATTAAATTCGTCAGTGCATATAGGATCAGCATTTTCATGGTTTAAAGGGTCAAAGGAGAAAGTACAACCAGAGTCACCAAACAACTGATTAATGAGAGCCCACGAATACTGGGGAGGGCACGGGGCTGCAGTGGGTCCCGCGGGCAGGAGTTGAGCTCTGACGTCTGCCTCCGCTATGGCACCCGCAGGGCGGCACCTGCCACAGGAGCGTGGCCCTGCGACGCTCCTTAGCTCCTTCACTGAACACCCGTGTGCCGAAGGAGTCTGGACCACCGAGCCAGCACTGGGCATGCGTGGGGGTGTGTGTGTGCATGCCTGTGTGCACCTGTACATGTGCATATACGTGTGTGCATGTAAGGTCTATCTGTGCGTGTGCGTTTGTACACATGTGTGTGTGGCACAGCCAAGGAGCAGATTAAAGGCGCTGGGTCACGTGGGAGCTGCTGCTAGGGGGAACCTACCTGGGATTTGGGTTCTTACAGCTAATAGGATCGCTAGAGCTCAAAGTCGTCATCCCATCAAGATAAACGTCTCTGGTGCCCAATTTTAAGCAATCCGAATTCAATTAGGCTAATTGGAAAACAAGTAAAGAAGGATTGTGTTAATATAGCCTTACAGCACGAACCCCTGCCCCCTCCCGGCCACCCTCCCTCCAGGGCCAGCTGAGCGCTGGGAGCCCAAGCCCAGGCCCTCGGCTGCCAGGACACGCGATGCCCCCATGGGCAGCAGCGCCAGTGCGCTGAACCCGGGCTGATGATGCACTGTGCTGCAAGGCACTGTGCTCAATTACATCGTGTTGCATTGCACTGTGCTGCATTGCACGGTGCGGGACTGCACTGCAGGGCACAGCACTGGCCTGCACAGCTCTCATGGGGTCCCTGTGAGCCATAGAGCTCCTCCGAGGTGCTGGAGCTCTCCTCTGGCCAGAGGAAGCCAATGCTCAAGAGCCCAGAAGCAGAGGTGACTGCCACGGTGTGCGTGATGAAGTGGTGATGGAGGAGGCAGCAGTTCCCTCACACCTTGTGCTTCCAAGCAAACACTGACCAGACTTGCTGGGGTGAAAGAAATGAGCAAAGCCAGAGCATGCGGTGCTTAATCTGTTGGATGATGAATATGGGGCAGGGCGCAGTCCCCGCTGGGTCCCTCCCTCACCGCCTCCTCCCTCTCCCCGCTCTCCTTTGCTGCCCAGCCTCCCAAGTCCTGCTCCCTGCCTGGCTCCAGCTCAGAGCTCCCGGCTGCGTCTTGGGCCCATGTGTCCCCTCTGCAGGCATCTGCTCTGTGAGGCAGCGTTTATTTGCGCTGACAGAGAGGAAGGACTGGGAGAGAGGAAGGAATAATACGTTGTTCTATAGTGGGGCTTTCGTTGTGCCAGATAATATCCCATGCACATGACTCAACAGGATGAAAACTATTCCCATGTAGCTGCATCTTCCATTCACAGGAAGCAGGTATAGGAGACAGCTGTGCCTCAGCCATTTCCATCTCCAGAATCTTTGTTAGCTTCTCCCCCAAATTACAGCAATAATTAGTGCAATAACACAATGCAAAACGCCTAACAGCTGTAACAGATGTGTGGGAGCACCTCCTGGAAAGGCGAGTAATTTACCCCAGCAACTTGATTCCCCTGATGGATGTGTTCACATCCGATCCTGCCTGCTCCTGTGCATTTCTAAGGAGAAACGGTCTTGGTGAAGCTGCAAAGTGCCATAATACCAATTTCTGAGGTTTCGCACAAGCATGAGACCCGTCAGAGGACTTGGTGGCCGCAGGAGATTTAGCCAATGATCAGCGCACAAGATGCAAGTCCAACATTTACCTTGCCCTCCCTGTGCACTGGTCTCGGTGCAGAGGAGACAGCCAGATTCTGGAGCTGGAGCAGACAGGGCCCCTCGCTGCTCTGCTTTGGCTTCCTTGCAAAGTTTCGTCTGCTGCCCCACAGCTCCAGGCCCCGCAAAAAGACTCCACATCAGCAGGTGCCCTTGCGAGCAGCAAGTACAAGTGCAATAACCATGCCTGGGGTGGGGGAAATCCTTCTCTGTTAAGGGGGAATAACTCATGTACTGTGCGGGATGTGTGTGCTGATCTGGGTGCAGAACCACATTTGCGCTGTGGTTAATAGCGAAGTTTTCGAGCCTTCTCCCTGCACACGCTGCTGTGACAGGCGCCGGAAAGCAGCCCCTGTGCCAGGAGCCAACACTCTCCAGGGCACCTGCTGCCATGCCAGGGCAGGGTTTGGACAAAGTGAGTTTGCTACTTCATCTCATCTCGTCTTTTTTTTTAATTTTTTTCTCTTTTTTTCTACATCAAGCAAAAAAGGATTCCTATGAGTGCTGGGGTCTCTGGAGGGACAGGCATGTTTTGTGCTGGTTGTGAGTGCCATGAAAACCCAGCTTCAAATTAGAAGAAATTAGGGACATTGCACAGTTCATTCATTTCCACTAATAGAGTTCTTGGGAAATACACATGTAGATTAAAGGCACACAATGGCCCCTGGCTGATTGCTTTGAGTACCCTCCAATGCCCCCACAATGGCACTGACTTTCTTTTTATGCTGTTCACAAAAGCCACACTAACCTTTCTTGTCTCTTCTGCTGGCCCCTTCCCCCTGGATCCCAGGGATGGCTGGGCCCTTTCTGCTGCCCCCCTCCCCAAGGGGCCATCCTGAAGGCAAACTCCACCTGGAGCCCTCGGGAAGAGCCCAGCCTTTGGAACAGGAATTACTGCTGGGACATCAGACTACAGACCTTGGCAGCACAAGGGCAGAGGCAAACGCTGCTGGTTGGTGTTTTGGGGTAATTCCTCCAGGCAGGGCACAAAAGGCACCCTGCTGCTGGGGAAAGGTGCAAATCTGGGGAGACAGCTCTTATCTTTTACCAGATTATTATAGGTGGAAGAAGTAGTGAGACTTTTCCTTCACATATGCCCTTCTTAGGCATCTGAAGTTGAAAGCATCTCCAAAACTAAATGCAGGCCAAAAAAATGCTCTGGATGATATTGTGTTTGTTAATTTAACTAGCCAGGAAAAAAGATGGTTGATACCTCTGAGCTAGAGCCAGATGCTAGCAGAAGAAATAAAGAAAGAAGGGAAGAGAGAGGCAGGAAAACATGGCACAGGAAGGAGTGAGCTGGAGGGAGCAGGCATGATAGCATTAGTCAGTACTGCGCTGAGCCCGTGTCCCCAGCAAACCCAGAGCAAGGTGCAGGCTGAGTTTCAGCTCTGAGGAGGTTTTGAAGATCTCCCACGAAGCCAAACCCTGCTCTCTAGACCATCAGCCCCTCTCCCTCGCCAGGGGAAGGAGATGCAGAACCAGCTTGCGCCTTGGGTCTTCCCCCGTAACACCAGCAACTTGGCTGCTTCCCCAGAGCTTTCCCTGGGCTTGTGAAGGCTAAGAGGCCAAGACCTGCCTCTTCAGGGGCCTCCAGGGTCCATCTCCCCTCACACGCTGTGCACACATTCACTTTAAACATGGCTTTAAAGGGAGACAGGTCCCAGCACAGACACCCCGTTGGAGGAATGGAGCCAAGTGTTACCTCTGGTACTTTTTACTCTATACACTCGAGCACAGGACAGCACCATGCCCTCCTCCGCCGTGTCACCTTTGGCGAGGTGAAAAACTGCTGTGCTTTTAAAATGCAGGAGATGTCGAGAAGCCCA